GCAACATGATTAATTGGATTAAATTTTTCATAAGCTTCAGGATTTTGATATTGAGTAAAACCACCTGAATCATGTTCAGTAAACCATAATTCTTCCGTAGCATAAGCCATTTCTCTCATATCAAATAATCCATCATGATTAACAAGAGCACGAAAACGATGACTCATTTCAGGATGTCCAGCAATCCAATTAATCATAAAACCTCCATAACTAGCACCTAATGCAATAGCTCGACTTTCATTAATATATGGATATTGTTCTAAAGCAGCAGTCAATCCTAATTGAAGATCTTCATAAGGTAATGTACCATATTCACCGGTAATACTATCAGTAAAATTTTGTCCATATGAATCAGAACCATGAAAATTAATAGCAATAACAGCATAACCTTGTGCAGCAAATGATTGAAAACTCCATCCCCGACCCCATGTATTATACCAACTATTTTGTGGACCACCATGAATTAAAAAGGCAAGTGGTGCTTTTTGACTAGTGCCAGTTATTGGTGGAACATGCCATCCCCATACTGTTTCATTTCGTGCACCTTGAAATGAAAATGCTTCATAACTATCACTCCATTGTGTTCGATTGATTAACATATCATTATGTGTTGTTACTGGAAATAATAATTGATTCTTTTGTAAAACAATATTTAATGGTTCAATTAAATTTTCAAAAGTTAAAAGTAATGTTTGATCATCTGTTGGATCTACATTAATATCATGCCAACTTCCATTATCTGCTACTCGACGAACAACTGTTGGATTTGGAGTAAAAACATTTAATACTTGATAAATAAGATGCTGTGCTTGTTCACCTAATTCAAGAAAAATTGATTGACCATTATCTGACCATTTAGTAACTTGAATACTTTGATCCCAATCATCAAGTAATGTCTTTATTTGTGTACCTAACAACAACAATAAAAAAGTCAAAATATCGATTCTTTTTTATATAATAAATAATTTACCATCATATAATTTCAATTTAAATTGATCTGATTCATAACCAGGTACTGATTGTGCTCGATAGATTAAGATATGTTCATCAGTAGGTGAATATTTTGGATCAGTATCAGCAGCATGATTGTCACGTGTAATACATACTGGTGGTATATTTGGTTTACTAACATCAATTGTAAAAATATCTAAATTAGTTGACCATGCTACTTCACTTGTTTCATCATATTGTCGTGTAAAAGCAAATGAATTCCCACTAGCACTAAATGACCATTGTGCTTTTGCATCACCAAATGGACGTGTTGGTGAATCACTATCAATACCAAAAAGAACATCTTGAGGTGATGATTGAAATCGAAATGTTTCATGTGAATCTCGTTGAATTGAAACAACAAATGGATGATGACGTGGACCTGTCATATATTCATCCCAATGACGAATAAATAATTTATCAAATTTATAAACAAGACTACCACTTGTTTTTTCCTTAGCTTGATGATCAGCTGTTTCTTCAATTGATAAATTAGCATAGACTTGACAACTAAATGCAAGACGAGAAGCTTGTCGATTAACTAATAAATTATCAATAGATAATGGATAATCAGTTATTTGAATTGGTTCAAGAAAATTATTGATTCCTAATATATCAGAAGGAAGATTTAATTGAAAAATTTGATTAAGACCAGATGTTCCTCGATTAGATAGAAAAAGTATTGTTGTTTTATCAATCCAATAAAACTAAAATTATTTTAAATTAATATTTTCTAATTTGTTTGTTTCTCTTTCTTACCTGTTGATCATGAATCCCCCATATTGGTCGTGTTAAGTGAATAGTTTTTGGTAAAAGTGGATCACTCATATCAACCCAATGTAATGTTGTTGATGATCCATTTATATCTGGCATATGATATTGTCTTCTTAGATAAATTATTTTTGAACTATCACCAGGACAAAATCTAGGTGATGATAATCGATCCATACGAAGATTATCTAATGGAGTTAGATTATGTACACTTTCTAATTTTCGATAATAATCAGTATTCGATTCATAATCACTAGCATTCCATGCTTCTGGTGATGGATCAGGTGGAGTTGGACATTTACTCTTCTTTGTTAATAGAATTGTTAGAGATGGAATAAATACTACCAATGCACCCAATAAAATGAATAATATTGGACGAATATACTAAATAGATAATCATTTACAAATATTAATAATAATAAATAGGATTTAATACTTGCCTTACTAGACGATGATGTTGACATAGTGGCAACTCGAAATGAAGAATAAAATAAAAAGAACACATATTTGTGCACATCTTCATGATAAACTAGATACACAACATATATCAATAAAAAGAGTCGAACAAAAAGAAGAAAAAAAAAGAATAAATATCAGTGTTTTATTAACTACTTGAAATGGTTGGTTATCTTTGTATGAGTATGAGTATTACTGTCACATGACTCCCACATACTTTCTTACATAAAAGAGATTTATTCACTTTTCCAAACATAATGCAATTTTTATTCTTAATAACGAATGCCATCTATTCAAATAAGATATTGATTGAACGAAATTAATAACCCAATAGATATAATGTTTTTGTTCAATCATTAAAAATATGTCCGATAAAGAAGATAATATATCAGGTTATTGTGCTCAATCATGGAAACTTATTCGTGATTTATTTCATCAAAATTTTATTGAAAATCTCGATATTGGTGCTTCACTTTGTATTTTTTATCGTGGAGAATGTGTTGTTGATTTAGTTGGTGGATGGTTTGATTTAGAAAATGATAGAAGACTATATACTCATGATACATTACAACCAGTGTATTCAACAGGAAAAGGTGTTATGGCTACAGCATTAGCTTTATGTGTTCAACGAGGAATATTAAATTATGAAGAAAAAGTTTCAACTTATTGGCCAGAATTTAAACAAAATGGAAAAGAAAATATTAAAGTTAAAGATTTATTATCACATCGAGCTGGATTAACAGTTATTGATAATGATGATGATCATATTTTGAATGTTGAAGATATTCTTGATGGTAAATAGAAAGAAAAGAAAATTAAGATAGAAAATTTAATTTAATATAGATCCAACAAAAATTACATATCTTTTGGCTAAACAAAAACCATATTGGCAACCTGATATTGGTGGTCATGGATATCATGCATTAACTTTTGCTTATTTAGTTAATGAATTAATTCGTCGAATTGATATTCCAAAACATCGTTCAATAGGAGAATTTATTCAGCAAGAAATTACTCAACACATAGATAATTGTGAATATTTTATTGTCAATTGTTTACCTGAACAATATAAAACTCGTGTATCATCATGTATACCACCAATTCAAATAAAAAAGGATGAAAATCACGTCCCTCTAAGGTAGAGAAATAATTTTATCTAAGACATATGTTACTTTTTTCTTAATAGTGAATTACAAGAGCGAACCTTTACAATGAATGGTCTTGTAAAAACAACACCAATGGATTGTACAAGTAAATGTTTATCATGTGTCAATGTTGTTACAAATGCTCGATCATTAGCAAAAATTTATGCTTCATTAATATTTACTGAAAATTTTTTAACAACTGAAACTCTCTCAAAATCTATATTAAATAATACACCAGATAATGAATTTGATAAAATTCTTGATAATAAATTAACAAAATTTAGTCAAGGTGGTTTTATGTTAGATGAAACAGTTGTAAACGATTTTGGAAAAGTTTTTGGACATTGGGGTAAATTGATTTCATGAGAATTTTTAATCACATTTTTTTTCTTATATTTAGGTTGGGGTGGAAGTATTGCATTTGCTTCTCTTGATAAACAACTTACATTTGCATTTGTACCAAATAAATTAATTTTTGATATTACGACAACAGATAGACGTGTTCAAACAATTTTAGATGGAATTAAAACTTTAATTGATTTATAAACATTTTTTATGTATCTTAATTGTATAATATGTACTTGATAAACATTATTAAACTCGCAAATCAATAAGATTTAAATAAATAGAATAGAATTTATGATGGGAACGATTTTTTATTTCTAAATGAAAAAAAATCTTTTCTTAATTGAAATCTAATCTATGAGAATAAATTTCTGTCCTCGTATACGATGAAGTAATAAATAACTTTGAAAATGTTTATAGTTCATTAATCATTGTGAATGTTATTCTTTTCTTGTTCTTTCGTGAGAGAATGTTTGATTTATAAACAAATCTATGCGAAAAAAAAAGAATGAATTATCTATATGTTAGTATCTCTGACATGTTGTTAATTGTTCTTTTATTTTTAAAATAAAATTTCGTTTGAAAGAAAATATAATGTTGTTGATTGTCTTCTTATTTGTTCAATTAATTCTAATATGTTTTTCATTTGAAAATGAAACGGATTGTTATTTTCGTGTCTTATATTCTAATGGAAGTCAATCATGGTGTTTAGATGAAGAATGCTCGAATCATACAGATATAATATCATTAGAAAATCTTCATTGTCAAACAAATTATTTATCATTAAAATTTTCATCTTATTCAAATTATTCTAATTTTCTTCTTTCAACAACATCAAAACAAATTTATTTATCTTCATTTTTTTCATTGGGTCGTCCAAATCTTGAACGTCTTCTTCAAATTGAATTTTTATCTTCATTGGAAAATAATAAATCATTTCAACTTGATCAATTAAGTCTTTTAGCAAATTCTTTATCAAATATTGATACATATGAATTAAATTTTTTGGGAAATCTTTCAAATAATAATTTACAATTATTCATTGATGAAAATCTCTTTTTAAGTAATGAACAACAATTTATTGATACATTAAGATTAATATTTAATTGTTCAAAATATGAAAGAGTTGAATGGGAATTAGTTAAAAGTATTCAAAGTATTCCACAATCTCCATGTCCTCAACAAATAACACTTCTCAATCATCAATTAAATCAGCAAAAATATTCTTTTAATATTATTATTCTAGTAAGATATTTCATTGATTTATTTATTAAATAAAAATATATTTTAGACAAGTCTTATTGCATTTGTATCTACAGTTATTCTTATTATAATTGCTCTTATTTTATATAATTATCACAATAGAGATTATCGATTTAAACAAAAATCAATAACCGATAGTCGAATTGAATTAATATCAACGGTTCAACGATTTTAATCTTATTTACTTTTTTCTTCATAAGAAAAAATTCAAAATAAAATAAAGTTAATATTCATAGAATTATCTTATTGTTAAAATAAACAGTTATCGTTTCAACTTATTCTTTTTTAAATAAATCTTTATGTAGTTATCATAAATAACACAATTTATATGACTTTTTTAATATTAGAAATAATTTCTGTAATAATTAACAAAGTTTCCTCGAGTGGCAAATTAATATTTATTGAAAATGTTTCTTTATTATATGTTACATTTAAATATATTCATATCTCATATGTGTGCAATTCTATTTGAATAGATATTTAACATTCGACTATTTTATGTCTTAAGACAACAAAAATTTCTAGGTCTACATTGATTTTCCATTCTAATAATTTTTGAATCATAAGGTTTTAAATTGTGAAACAATTCCTGTATTTTTATGAAGAAATTATAAATTGAACAAAAGTTTTTCGGATGAATCGATTAAATAATATTTTCTGTAGGTAAATATTCACTCTATTGATTGTTAGTTAGCATAAAATATGAAACTCAAATATTTTTAAAAGATAAATAAACTTGATTTTGTGTACTCAAAAAATGAGTACACTCTAGAATCGATCAGTGTGCCCGGTCGCCAGTATACACGATAGCTTTCGAAAGGAGAGGTAGATTTTGATGAAATTTTCTACACAATTCAGTCTCATCAAGATCTCGGTCGAGTTGAGCCTAATTTGACGAGCCATTCTCGAATTATTGAAAGAATACTGATATTTTCCTATGATTTCCATATATACTTTTTGCAGTACACATAACTCTCGGATAAAATCCGAAGTTTCCATATTTATTATAAAATATTTTAAATAGTATAAGATGTGAATTACTCTTATTTCATCTACTAACATGTTCAATATGTGGGAAATTAAGCTCATAAATATCCTATGTTCGATGTTGAGTGGCAAATTGATGTTATAATAACAATTACTTTAAGATCAAATTCAATTTCAATCAGTAAACATAAATTTAGCACTGTATTCTATCTATAGTGAAGGTAGATTAGCTTTTCTAATGTAATATCACAATATTCCTTTTTCTCAACAAATTCATATCATGGATTCTGTATGTTTAATGCAAATGCATAGTTTTTATTTATTTCAAGCATAATAAAATATAATTTGTATGTCTGTTTCTAATAATCTATATTGTCTATTCATTTTGCTATCTTCGACCGATTTAGACGATGAAGACGAACAGATTATCGCTGTTTGAAGACGATGAAGCTATTGAAAATGAAAGGTTATAAATGGTACCCATAGTTGTTGCTAAAGATTGCATTAGATAGACATATGTCGGCGACTTACATTCAGCATAATAGCATGGTGCTATAGAGCCCGAGGGACAACCAGTTAATATTACTAAAGAGTTACCTTGTGTTGACGCTGTAGAACAGCTCATTGAACATAACTAGAAATAAATTTAAAAAATGAATTTTTAGTCTTGAGTTATATAGTCATCATTTATAAAGAAAACTCGCGGGTTTCATTTTGTGGAACAAAGAGAATAATATTAACATTGTTCCATGTACCTACTAGTCATACTCTACTGATTATGTTGAACACAAAAACTCTGATAAAATTATCTAAATTTGTCTCATAATAGCTCATAGAGTTGTTTTAGACTATCAATAATATCAAGTTCAGTTTATATAAAATTATCGTATGTATTACCAGTGTCCAACCAGTTAAGTTGCCCGAGAAATCACCGTTTGTTACCAGTTGAGTATTGTTGCTGCCACCTAATTCGCGCACAGATACATTGTCGAGAAACCAGCCATTATTGTTATTTGCTGCGACAGCAAATCCAAGCGTGGTCCTAGGTGATGATATAGCAGTAAATGTAAGCGTGTAATTGCTGTAACTATTCGCAGATAGACCAGTAAAACTAGCCAACGTTTGATTTGCAGAGATCGAGACTGGACATGTTGATGGTAAAGCTATATGTAGAAATAGAAATCAGAAATCAAATTAAAGAGAAGCAGAACAAGAAAAGTATACTATAAGTAATAGTTGTTGTCGAAGTTGTTGTTGTAGTAGTGGTCTTGGTCGAAGTCGTTGATGTCGAAGTTGTTGTTGAAGTTGTTGTTGTTGCTGTCGAAGTTGTTGCTGTCGAAGTAATTGTTGTTATTATTGCTGTCGAAGTTGTTGCTGTTGAAGTTGTTGTTGTTGTCGAAGTTGTTGTTGTCGAAGTTGTATTTGTGGTAGTAGTCGTCTTGACTATAACAAAATTAAAGAATATTCAAAGTGAGTAGTATTTATCTCAGAATGGATTATGTAAAAAAAAGATTTGTTTATCGAAGTTACCTATGATTTTTCTCTATCTATTGCAATAAAAACAAGAGGATCAAAGAGATTAGATATGAGAATACGTACTCAATGAGCATCTATTGAATTGACCAAGGGAATCTGTGACACAAGTGAGATTTTGATCTTTTCGACAAGAATCGATTTGAGAACATGTATCATTAGTGAAAAGTTGTAATGCACAAATTGAACCATCCCAATATGAATTCGATCGACATTGACATGTATTTGTAGTTGTTGAACATATTTCATATCGACTATCTTGACATGTTTCACAAGATTGATTATGTGTTTTAACAAATAATGATGGAAAAAGTTCGACAATACCGACAATTGATGTTGCAGAAGTAGATGATACAATAGAACCAGTTGTAAGATCACCTTCGAAAAGTCGACAGCGTTTAGAAGCCGAATCATAGTCAAATGCATGACAGGATGGTTGTTGGTTACATGCAAAAGCACATAACATTTGACTTTCAAATGTTGTTTCGATCAACAATTGAATTGAGTCTTGAGGCTGAAATATTTTTCCTAACGAACTAAATTCTATGAATGATTGGGAGCAATAATAACTCGGTAAAAGAATAATCATCACGATTATAAACAGCATTGTAACTTAACAGTGTTAAATGTTTTTTTACTATAATCTAAAAAATTTTACTAAGAAATAAACCTTCTAACAAGAAAGGTGGCTGATAGAGTTCTGCGGGAACGATTTTTTTGATTCCCGTTTCTCGTTTCCCGTTCCTGAAAGAAAATGTTCTTGTTCCAGTTCCCGCAGGACCCTGGTGGCTGAGGAACTTCTATTTCTCAGTCATTTGACATCCATCAGAAATGTCAGAGAACTAACAATCGACTCTCGATTTTACGGTTGGTAATATTAGATTACAGGCTGTCCGAAAAATCATTTACTAAAAAATAAACCTTGAGTATTTCTCTTAACCGCTCGAGTAAACGAACTGATTTCTTTATCAATAATAAAGTCATGTTTAAAGTTTCTATCCATAAAGACATATCTAGAGAGATCATTTGTTAAATAAATACTATTGGTCATGTATTTTGAAAAATAAATCTTCAACATTTTTCTATCAATCATAAAAATATCACTTCATTTGTCTAAATCGTAATGAAAATATTAAATGTTTTTCTATCGACAAAAAGACTTTAGTGTTGCTCTCTATATTGTTTTCCTATTTGTGAGAAAGTAAATATTTCTATTCAGTTTAATAGTAATGCGTAGTAAATCATGTCTCTTTTAGCATGTCTTTATAGATAGAAACTTTAAACATATGTTTGCTCGAGTCGTTCTTTGTTAAATGACTTTTTGGACATGCTGTACTCGTATATATTATTGATTTCAACAAGAATCAAGGTTGGACAGTCGAATAAAATTAATGACGATGATTTTTATTTTCTTAATAAAAAACTAAAAAAGAAATAAAGATGAACTTTATGTCAGTCGTTGTTGTGCGGATAAAGAATAATCATTTAAACTAATTTCTTCATATATGTCGTTGTCGTTCTTTGTAAAGTGAGTCTTCATGTGGTGATGGTAAACGGGATATTTGATATGGTTTTGTATTTCGTTCATGTTCGCAATCGTTCCTAAAATAATTGAACTAATAAAGTAATTAATTATATGAAATTTCTCTTCAAAATATATTCACATTTATTCACAAATCAATTAAATCTACTCAATCGGATAAGAAGTTGTATTAATAATAAAATTACCTATGATTAGTATTGATATTACTTGATATACTTGGAATTGATGAAGTTCTTAAAGATTGTTTTAGAAAAAACTTTCGATAAATAAATATTGAAAGAAGAATTGTTATTATTATTATTAATAAAGGAATTAATATCTAAATAGACTTTGAATTAAATTAAATTAAATTTGATATAAAATAATTTTACAATAATAATTAAATGAATTGATCTTTCATTGTCTTGTTTATATATTGATTGAATTGTTGAATTAATTACTAATGGTATTATTTGTTTTATTAATAATGGACGTTGTGGAGCAAAATATGATGGAGGAATAACATTAGCTGGACAAGGTTTTTCATTATAAATAATCATTGATTTACAAATACTAGAAGAAAAAGAAAAAATGTATAAATTTAAATAAAATGAAATAATAATTACAATTGAATTTTAATAATAAACCATTGTGAATCATTTGGATGATAATGTATTGATTCATTCAAACGAGAATTATTTGTTAAATTTCTTATATATAATTCATATAAATCAATATTATTTCCTAAATCTTTTAATTGATCATCATCAGTTGGTTTATCATCGAAATCAATCGAATTTAAATAAATTCTTAATAAACGATTTTTCTTATTTAATTTTGTTGAAAATAAAATTCCTAATTTCCATTGAATTCGTTTAATAAATAATCGAAATATTTTATATGATGAAAATGAAAGATAAAGAATATTTGTTTTACAATTATTTGGTTTAACCATAATTGACTGTGGATCAATATATTTATTACATTGATTACTTAAACATATATCAATATTCTGATCAGATTGATAGATTAGATAATTACATAAATCATCAAAACAATTTATTGAATGAAATTTTATTAAAAAAATAAATATTAAATTAATCCACCACCACCATCTCAATACAATCGTCATATTCTTCACTAAACAAAAAAAAATAAGTTTTATTCAAAGAATTTTATCTTTTTTCTTTAAATATTCATACCAAACATTTTTTTTATTCGAATTTCTCAAATTTTTTCTTTTTTTAATCAGAGAAATTGTCGATAGGAAAAAAAAATAATTGCTTACCTCTCGAAATAATTAGCAAAGAAAAGAGTAACAATGAAAGATCACTTGAAATAAAAGAAAAAGATTAGATAAATTCGAATGAGTCTATATATGAAATCATACAAACATTTGTTATTCTTTCTTTAAAATAAACTGATAAAAATATTCTATTCGTTTTGGTATGTACATGGAGATAACTGCATAGATTCATGACGTGAGATCAATTATATTCTTCTTCAAACATTCTATCCTTTTTCTTTGTTTTGAATGGAAGAAGAAGGAGAATATATATCAAAAATTGTACTCGAATTACAACCAAGGTTATTGTTTAATTAACACAAAAATAATTAATGAATATTTTTTTTTTAATTTCTTAGATCACTTCGAGGTTATCGGCGATTATTTGGAATTCGAGAAAATAAATTCTTCAAGAAAGAATTATTTGATACAAATCATTTTACAAATCTATTTCTTAATCAATATAATAATAAACCTATTCGACGTGGAGAACATGTAATTGATTTATATTAAAATATATTACTTATTTTACTCAATTTATTTAGATCAAATGTTGTCATTTAATTGTTGCTGTGAAACAAATTAAAAGTTAGAATTATTTATTTGATTTTTATTTAAATAATAATTTCATTTTTTTCTATGATAGGTGCTCCAATAAAATTGTTAGGAAATACTCAAGTGGAATTTCGATTAAGAGGTCTTCCTTTTTTCAAGTTAGTTTTTTTCTGAAGAAAATAGATTTATAAAATAGATTTTATTTAAATAGAAATGAAGAAAATAATATTTCAGTAAATGAAGAAATTTTAGAAAATAAAGGAAGATTAAATGAATCGTTTATTAGTGATATTATCACTGTAAGTATTTACAAGTAATCTTCAACATTTTTATGCTGTTTTTCTCATTATTTAGAAAACTAATGAAGCTAGTATTGATATTGAAATAAAACAAAATTATCCGTAAGTTTGAAATTTAAAAAAAAAATAAAATAAAATAAAACTAACTAAATTTAGATGTTATTGTTGTGAATGTAAAAAAAGTTTATCCCCTGGCGAATATTATATTAAGACTGGAAATTGGAGTCGACCTATTGTTTGTGTATCTTGTTATGAATTATTATTTACTCATCAATGTGTTCGTTGTTCAAAATCAATAACATTTGATCGTAATAAAAATATATTTTTTTATTTTCAATTCAAAATTTTTTATATAATTTTTAGATAATTCGATAACAAATGATGGTTTAGCATATATAAATTATGCTGAACATAATGGTTTATATTGGCATTCGGATTGTTGTGTTTGTGTTATATGTTTAACATCATTAGTTGGAAAAGAATTTTGTCAAGATCAATTTAAAAACCAACTTTTTTGTCATGAACATGATCCGGAACAATTTTAATAAAAGAAAATGATAAAACCTACTCAATGAGATAATATTTTGTTTCATACATCTACCGCACTGATAGTTCGTTTATTTAAGAACAATACGCGAGTATTTATAGGACAAGACATAGTTACTTTCATTGTTCCCATTTCTTGTAAGACAACATATTCTAGGAAAATACCTAACTGATCTCCTTTCCTTTCATTCATCACTTGGAAATAAAACATTTCAATATAAGTTAAAACAACAGAAGAAGAACGAATAGCGAACCAATAATATATATGTTTGCTTACACACATATATATATATATGAAATCGTAGAAAGATTTGTTATTCTTTGTTAAAAATAGTGATATTAAATATTCTGTTCGTTTTGATATGTAGATGTAGATAACTGTATATATTCACAACGTCATATCTATTTTATTCTTCTCCAACAACATCCTATTCATTTATATCGTTGTCTCTTTATTTATTTTAAATGGCTGCAGAAAAATATATATATAAAATTGTACTCGAATTACAACCAAGGTTATTGTTTAATTAACAAAAAAAGAATCAATGAATGTTTTTTTTTTCTAATTTATTAGATCACTTCGAGGTTATCGTGGATTATTTGGAATTAGAGAAAATAAATTCTTTAATAAAGAATCATTTGACATAAATGATTTTACCAAACTATTTCTTAATCAAGTTAATAATAAATCTATTCTACGTGGAGAACATGTAATTTATTAATTTATAGAAAAATATGTGATGAATTTAATTGAATTTATTTAGATCAAATGTTGTAATTTAATTGTTGCTGTTGAAGAAGTTAAAAGTTAGAATTATTTATTTGATTTTATTTAAATAATAATTAGATTTGCTCTGTATTAGGTGCTTCGGTGAAACTTCCAGGAAATACTCAACTTGCATTTCGATTAAGAGGCCGTTCACTTTCTCAGTTAGTTTTTTTTTCTAAAGAAAATAGATTTATAAAATATATTTTATTTTATTTAAATAGAAATGAAGAAAATAAAGAAATATTAAATGACAGGTCTATTCATGATATTATAGCTGTAAGTATTTACAATTAATCTTCAACATTTTTATTCTGTGTTTCTTATTATTTAGAAAACTAATGAGACTAGTATTGATATTGAAAAAAAACAGAATTATTCGTAAGTTCGAAATTTAAAAAAATAAAATAAAACTAGAGAAATTCAGATGTTATGGATCTGGTTATGAATTCTCATTTGATCATAAATGTGCTCGTTGTTCAAAACTTATAACAGTTGATCGTAAGACAAATCAATTATTTATTTTCAATTAAAAACGTTTTCTATTATTTTGTTAGATAATTCGAGAACACGTGATGGTATAACATATATAAATTATGTTGAATATAAAGGTTCATATTTCCATTCTGATTGTTGTTTTTGTTTTAAATGTTCAATGCCATTAGCTGGAAATGAAGTTTATGAAGATGAATCTACAGGTCGACTTTTTTGTCTTAACCATGATCCGGAAGAATTTTAATGAAAAAAAAGAAAAGTTATTTTGTGTTATTAATATATATGAAATTTAAGAAAAAGCTTTTTTTTTATATTTGTTTCGTTGGTTATCTAAATAAAAGAGAGAAATCTATAAATATTAATGGATTTTAGTTTAACAAAAGAAAGCGTTGGTGGATAAAACAAACTTATATATTTACACAAGTATGATTATATTATAAAATGATGTCGATATAACTTGCCTTATTTCTCGATGAAATTATTTTTAGTAAGTATAGAAGAAAAAGATGAACTCACAAATAAGACATCAGTTAAATTACCCTTTGAAAGCAGTGAATCGTGATTAATAGGCTTTTATCTTTTATCTTAGAACGAAGAAGAAGAAGAAGAAGAAAAAAATGAGAGAAACGATTTGTTTAAGTTTATCATATATAAGAAATATTCTTTTTGTGTTGTTGTTTTATATTAAAATAAAATCTTTTTAGAATAATTCAATGTCTGGTTTATTCAATTTGTCATTGAATAAAATTCTTCTCTTATTAATCATTTGTTCAATATTTGAAATAAATGAAAGTCGTTTTGTTTGGGATTTTGGTTCTTATTGTTTAAATTATTGTGCAAAAACAAAATTTAAATTAACTCCTGTAAGTATTTGTTCATGTCAATGGATTTCATCAAATTATCGACGATCACCATTTCATACAATATTAAATAATAACAATAATAATGTTCCTTTTAAAATAAAATAATCGATCTTTTTTTTTAAATAAAATTATTCAAAGTTCAAATATGTGAACTAATTTATATAAATATTATTTTATTATATGAAATTGGATAATCAATGAAAAAAAGCAGGAGTAAATTCTTTCTTTTTTGTTGTTGATTATAAATATCTAATAAAATCTCCTACTTATTTATTTTTTAATGAAGACATTTCATTCTTAGAAATTAAATTATTTTTTTATTATTTACGTATTTTAATTAAAAATAGATTTTCAATGATTTTTTCACCTCTAATCTCAAGATAAATATGATATTAAAAAACTAATCTTCAATGAATTCATTAATTTTTGTCTGAGAGATGGTTTAAAAATAATCTATCAGTTAGAACTATTTTTATTTTTAAACTCTTCAAAAATATTTCGAAAACTTTTCATTATTCTCAAATTTGATTCTATTAATATTTCTCTACGATCGGTGTTTTCTATGGAGTTCAACGAGTTGTTAATATGGAAGTTAATAGATAGAAATAGATTCTATGACGTATTAGTGATTCGTTAGATCATATATTGAATTGATTCATTTGAGCGAAGATATTTTTCGGCATTGTACATGAATAAATAAGAACTATTGTTTTTTTAGATAAATAAAGTTAACATTATCATTGATGGAAGAAAAGATAATCTATTCATTTACGTCATGGAAATTTCTTATGGTTTTCTAATCATCTAAAAATAATATTCGTCAGAGAATAGAAAGAAATATTTTTATTTTTATTATCAAATGAAGAATAACTATCGATATTGTCTAAGTATGATTAAGAATTTTAATGTTGAATATTCTAGATTTTATTATTTAAAATTAAAAAATATAATATTTTTATATTAATACACAAAAAAAGACTTTCGATAATTTTAAATTATGAAAAAATTTTACATTGGAAAAAGATTGACAACTATATAGTTTTAATTCTTCGAAAAAGTTTGTTTGAGAACGAATCTCCATAAACTATTGAATACTAAAGGATAGAATTATACTTTAGGTAATTAAAAGAATAAACTAATATTTTTCTCCAAAACTAATGAATAATCTATAGTTAAACTTTTTCATAATTTAATCTTATCGAATGAGTTTTAATAAATAAAGGAATGCGATATTTAAAATCTTTCTGATCTTTGAACAAATTGATAATCATGATAATAATCTAAAGAAATTAATTGTTTAAATAAAGCTTGATCATTAAGAATATCTTCAGTAAATTGTTTCCAATAAATTTTTTCATCTCGATTAATATTATTTGTTTTAAAAACAATATTAATAACTTGATTTAGATTAAATTTCGATGATGGAATATCAAATATATAAAACATATTTCTTAAAAAATCTTTTATTTCATCACGTGAAAGTAATTTTTCTTTTTCTTTTTCATAAAGACGAAATATTAATTTCATTTTTTCATTTATTGATCCATTTGAACTTAAAACATTAAGTAAAACAAATTCATGAAAATCTAATTTATTATCATTATTTAAATCAAATACTTCAAATAATTTTTCAATTAATGGTCTTAATTGAACATTCGATTCATCTTTTAATTGTTGATAATAAACAATAAATTCATTTCGAGATAAATATCCATGAGGATAACAATGAACAAATGATGAATACCATTGTTGAATATCTTCTACACTTAAATTACTTTTTAATGATAAATTTGAAATTTCTTTTGTTGTTAATAATGGTGGAAGACGAGAACGAAAACAACCAGTTGAACCACCCATTTCCATTAATATTTAAATAAAGTAACTAATAGAAATTGAATTTCAATAACATAATATCTATGTTATCACTTCTATTCAAAGAACTTGTTGTTTGGTAGTGTAACAGATTTTTCATATCGTCGTTCTATTCCTAAGAATAAAAACGAAAGAAAGAATAAAAAGAAAAATACGAATCAACAACGAACATTTACATGTCACAGATGTTTTGTTTGTCAATGAAAATTATCAAAACTAAATGTACCAATGATTACAAGAAAAGAAATTTCTTTCTCCATTTGAAATTGTTCAATATACTATTGACTTAACTATACATATACATATATATTATAGGCTAGCGATTTTTTTATTTGTTATTCAAATAATTCATTCTTTATTCTTTTTTTTTTGTATATATAGAATATAGAACAATTTACTTTGACATTTAGATATTGACCTTTAACTAAATATCTTATTCAAATCAATCATTTACATTCTTTCTTTTATTAACGAACATTATCATTTTCGATTTGACGAATCAAACGTTTTTTTTTCTTTTAGACAAGTTTTTATTAGATATTATTCATATTTAATAAAATTCTTTTTTTTCTTTCTGTATTTTGAAATATTTATTATTAGAATTAGGAATAAAGTCTAATGAGAACAAAGATAGAGACATATTACTCTATCTTAAACTTATGTATTCATTAGAAAAATAAATATTAAAAAAAAATAAACTTCATTTATTTCCATTTTAAATTATCATGAGTTTTAATAGACGATGGTGTGAGTGATTTTCTTCTTCAATAACATCTATATCTATTTTCGAATTTAATTCATTTAAATATGTTCCGAGAGTGTGAATATATGATACTTATGAAGTACATTCACATACACGCAAGAATATAATTTTATCTTCTTAAAAAGGAAAAACTATCCTTCTCCTTTTGAAACCATACATTTACGGGTTTTGTCACATTATCTAGTAGGAATTCACGTAATGCTTCTCTTCCGAAAATTATCAAAGCAGTAAGACATAAAATATGTTAAAAAGTCATTTTTTATAATTTAGGTTGACAAATTGGTTAATATTTCAAAAAAGATCAAACACAAAGATATAAAACAGTTGTTGCTATCCTATACGATTTCAGTAATCCATTAATTCTATATAAGACAGCTATCAGTAGCTAATATTTCAAATTTAGTAGTTCGACGTAGGAGTCTGACAGATCAAACTTGTGAACTATGGAGATATGTTAGTTTCTGCTTATCGAGCTGATATGAAACTGTCACATCTCCAGTCATTGGAGCAATTTTTTTTGAAGGTAATGTTACATATAAAAACTACCTTAAGATATTGAAGGACAATATTATACCACAACTTCAGACATATTCACTCTTTCAAACAATGATCTGGCAAGAAGATAATGCACCTTCTCGTTATAGTCCAATCGATCGAGATTACCTAGATGATACATTCTTACAATGAATTAGTCGACGAGAAACTGGTTAAAACAACAGTTATTCAGTTTCTGAGATCGTAACTAATATTGAATTATGTTAAACAATCTGTTGTTCTATATATGATATAGAAGAAATATATTTTGATAATATATAATAAAAAAAAGATTTATTTGTTTGTAATTATGTATACATTCTATAATTAATGGAACAAACTAGAACAACTTAATTAAATTCCAACAGCTTGACAACTAATTGTCCATAATTTTTCAGCTAATAATGGATCCATAGTTAATGGAGATGATTTAACAGCGGTACAATTTCTAAAACAAACAAATAAATAAATAATAAAATAGAATTTAAAAAAGATGAAAAATATTAACTCAAAATATAAATCTTTTGATTTTTGTAAATGAGATTGAATAGTACAATAAATTGATGTTTGTGCACCAGATTGAGGTGTTTTAGAAAATAGAAATTTCATTAAATAAAATAATGGATAATAGAAAATAGAAGTAAAGAAATTAATTGATTCTTCCATTGGATCTTTTATTGATGTTGAGACTAATCCAGGTGTTAAGGAAAATGAATTGATATTTTCATCTTTTAATTAATCAAAAGAATATTTAATATTCAAACAAAATAAACACGTACTATCAAGTAAATCTTGTTTTAATTTATATGTTGATAAGATTTGAAATAATTTTGAAGGTGCATATGAACCAAAAAGACTTGTTTTATGAAATTGTGTCAATGCATCTGACCAATCGATGGATTTTACAGCTATTTTAAAGAAAAATAAATTCGTATTCAAGAATAATTTCAAAAACCTTTATGAAGATCAGATGAAATATTTATAATTCTACTTGGTTTTGATTGTTTTAATTTATTTAATAAAAGATTTGTAAGTAAAAAATGTGAAAGATAATTTGTTTGAATAACCGGATTAAAACCATCTTTAGTTATTATTGTTGATGAATAACCCAAACCAGCATTACATATAAGTATATCTAATCGATCTTCTTCTTCGTTATATAATTTAGCTAAATTTCTAACTGAATCAAATGAACATAAATCACATTCCATTACACGAATATTTGATTTTGAACATCCACTTTCATTAATAAGTTTATGAATAGCTTCATATCCTTTATTAACATTTCGACATGCTATTATTACACGAGCTCCTAAGTATTTTTACATTTATTTTAAATAATAAACATAATTAAATCTTAAACCTCTTTGAAGAAGATCTTTAGCTGTTTCATATCCAATACCAGTATTACCACCTGTTATTAATACTGTTTTACCTTCCATTGATTGACAACTTGAAAATAATCGACGATTTATCCAATATTTATTATATAACCATCCTGTTAATACTATACATTTAAAGAAATTTTTATTTACTTAAATAATAATAAGAATATGATTAAATACCAGTTCCACTTATAATAAGAAAACTTTTATGATATTGATTAAATGTTTCATTAACAATCAAAGACAGTTTCTCAATAATTGTTTCTGACATTGTTATTGATTTCAGATTGATATTTTAATTAAAATAAATCAAAAATATTATTTTATTTCTATCTATCAACGTATTATTTCATCGATTGATAAAACTCACCAATAAAATTCAAACAAAGTTCTTTATAACGAATTTATAATGCATAAATATAACATATTTCGACAATATCATTTGTCGCTTTCGTTTGTTTGATTATCAATGAAATATATTGACAAACCATATTATTCTTAGTAGAAATTTTGATATTTATTTGAAAATATTTTTATATTCTTATTTTATTGAATTAGAAATCTATCGATTAATAAAAACTATTCAAATATGCTTCATTCTATAACAATAACAACTCTTTAATAATATATAAATCTATACATATTTGTTTCGACACCGTATCAACGGTACCATCGAAAAAATTTTATTTGAGAGAACTCAATTTCTAAATTCTCATGAGTCAAAGTGTAATCAAATTTTGGAAGATTTGAAACTCTAATTTTTTGATAACAATAAAATATTTATATTAATTCGTAGATACCTATTAAGAACGTCTTCATGTTTAGGTTAAAGTGAATTGTAAAATAAACTTTTTTAGTAAAACATAGTCTCAAAAATGTTCAACTACAGCAATGGAAACTTCCAGTCTTTTTCTCACTTCACACATTCTAGAATTTGGGGTGTGAATAAACAAAAAAATGAAACCACACCCTGAGTATCAATGAATTATAGACAATAAGATATCGTTGTCTAAGCACGATATTTTATTATGACTGTTTTGAAATTAAAATCATATATTTGTCCTGAAAAGTTTATTCGAAAAATCGACAAAAAACATGTTTCGATAAGGGTTGTGGGTGTGGGTGTCATTGAAATAAAATACCCACAACCACATCGACACCCTCAATCTCACCCAGATACACACCTTTTATTACAACTGTATTTTTTGCAGAGATGTTTTCGTAGTGTAAGTCTTCAAGTTGACAGTATTAAAACAAAACTAAAACAAACATACAATTCTATTATGCGTGCAAAGAATTCGGCGAAAACAGCAACGGAAAGCATGTCGTTAAAAGAACCACAAGAAATTCAGGGTGGGTGCGGATGCCGGTGAGGGTATGACTGGATGTGTGACAATGTGGGTGGCTGCGAGTGTAGACGCGAGTGTGCGTGAGGATGGGGGTATTTTATTTCAACCACACCTGCACCTACACCCATTCATACCCCACATCCATCCAATAAACGAATGGATATGAGTGAGGGTGTCAGTGTGAGTGTGGTCGTGGTTGTAGGTACTCTATTTCAAGCATACTGGCATCCACACCCAACACCCATTTAATAAAAGGGTGGATATGGTGTGGGTGTGGTTGTACGTGTTCTAATACAAGCATACCCACCCCCTAACACAAATTAATTCTGGAAGCGGAGCATCTTGCAAAAAATTTTCGTAGTTAGTATCCAATTTGCGAGAGAGAGTCGAAACCGATCGCAACGGCTCAGTGTAGGTATTTATTGTGTGTTTCTTCCCAGAGCCGCAATCTCTTTTAATTCGTTTTACGACATGCTTTCTGTTGCTATTTTCACTGCATTCTCTGCAAGCGTAATAGAATTGTATGTTATTTCGGTTTCGTTTTAATGTTGCCAACTTGAGGACTTACACGAAAAAAGCATTTCTGTAAAAAATACAGTTATAATAAAAATCAATAAAAAAAATTCACTTTTTCATTTTATTCTCTATTTCACTACCACAGCTGACTCTTTCTTTTCAACTTTAAAAGCTTACAGTCGTCTCATTTTACATCTTTTCGATTCAATAAAGGTAAAGCATAACTTTCTTCACTGCAGAATTTAATAGACAGAACTGTGTAAGGTGCGGTATGCGTTGGGAGTATCGTTTCAATTTCTTCTAAATCTATACTTAAGTTTCTAAGGTTTAGTATGAATACACAGAACTCTTTCAAGTTTTGTAATTATACCACAGAACCTTTTGTAATTCAAAGGCTACAGGCAAAACTCCTTAATTTTTTTCTTAGCAGAGATATTGTTCTTCGAGTTTTTTTAGATTTTTCAATGGCTTGGAGTTATTGGGCTTGGGTTGGGTGCAGTGTAGGCACTAGCGTTGGCATTTTTGTTTTAACACTTGTTGTCTTGTTAATCCTACTATTTGCAAACGATACTATATTCTACGCTATTGTCGCTCAACTTCTTAATATAGAACGTTGCTACATTGACGCCCATCATAACATCATTCACAATAATCAAAATATTCATACTTCTACAGACGTTTTCCAAAATCACATAATCGCAGCAGTTTTAGAAGCCAAACAATTTCAACAAGGCTTTACTGGTACAAATGATACTGGCTCAGACTCAAAATTACCGGGAAATGAGCAATCTAACAGCCAAAAACCTGAAGAACGTATGAAGAATTTTGTTGCAAAGATTTTTGAAAATGTGAGCAATACATCGGCAGAAACGAAGCCAAAAACTGAGCCAGAAGCATCGTCAAAAGCGGAGCCAGAAAGATCCCCAGAGTCTGAGTCGCATCCTGAACATATGCGAGCAGTATTGAATGTTTATGGGAAATATATTGCTGTAAACAAAAAAGGAAGCTTAATTTTCTTAATGACCTTAACAACAATTATTATTTCCGGTGCTCTCATAGCTGCTTTCAACTCTCTTGTCTTAACTACGTCAAGTGTTTATGTAGATGGTCCGTGTCCAACTCTTGGACTAATGGAATGCTTTTGTGGTAGTAATTATACATATTTTACATGTAACACAGGACAAACCGCCTCTTTTCCACTCGATGTTCATTCGGGTTCATGTTTTCGTTGGGTTGCACGTGATTTAACAACATCCGATATTACGACGCAACTAGGTGTTACAACAGGAATATTGGTTGCTTTCGGTAGTATGGCTCAAGCTATAATACGAATATACCTGCTTGCATTTAACAAGCGTTTGAGTATCGCTACTGGCTTACATCACATAGCCGCTAAGACAATCGGTATTAATAGAGATACTGCTCGGACCAGATGTTGGTGCTGTAATTTACCTTGGCATTGCAGTGCTTGTAATTTAAGTCTTTTCAAGAACCCTGCTGCTGTGATATTAGTAACTGCAATTTATATTGCAATACCGTTTCTAATGATTCCAGGCGTAATCATGCTATACTACTATCAATTAAGCGTAACTTCGCTAACGTTCGTTGTTCTCATCGTTATAGCAATAGTTTGTATACTATCCATAGTATGGATAATGGTGCAGGAGAATGAAGCAAGTTCTAATATCCCGGGCGGATGGAAAGATGCGGGAAAACTTGTTGAAATGGTTGCTATGAAAGGTAAAAGTGTAACACAAGGGGGAATATCACCGTCCAAAAACTTCAAAGGTCCTTAGAAGTAAGTATTATTAAACGACAAGAATATGCAAAGAAATATGGATGAAAAGTTTAGCTACAGAAAGATTTTTGACAATCTCTATTTGCGAGTGCGTGTGTAAGCTTCTTTGTGTTTATTATTTTCTTTTAAAATAACTTTTTAATCTATGGAGAATATGCACTATGAATTTGGTTTGATGTTTATGAGCTTATTAGTAAAAGTCTCTTGTTTTAGATAGCTATTTCGTTGTCGTTATTTCTTATTTATCGAAACTAGTCAATTATTACATATGGGTAATCAAAAATCTACAGTAAAATTAGATAAGAAATGTGAGTAACTCTAAGTATTTTTGTAACCTAATTGTAGACTTCATTTCATGCATTTTTAGTGAACAAACAGTATCAGGCAATAACTCGACTTTCAGAGACTGGTAATTTCTTTATTTTTATCGTTTACATTTATTTATTAAACTTGCTTTATAGAAATAGAAGAATGGTATCAAGTAAGTTGAACTGATCGTGTTTCAGGGTTCTATACGCGATTCTCAATGATAGGAGTTCATCAAAGAATGTCCCAATGGAAAACTAACTAAAACGAAGTTTACACGTATTTTTGTAAGATATTTTCGTTCACATCATGCGAAGTCATTTTGCAAGTATAGTCAAATTATATAATGTCTTAAACTATGCAGCTATCTAGTAGTTTTTAGTGCCATTTTTAAAGCGTACAACAAAGACAAAGATGATGGTTCACTGACTTTTGAAGAATTTCTTATAGCTCTTTCACCTCCGAGTCAATTGAACTTTAGAGATCATCTTGGGCTCCTGTTTGATGTGTAAATTTATTGTTAATTTCAGTTCAATATATGTTCTCTTCTTTTTCAAAGGTATCATAAGTCGGAGGATAAACCAATGAATAAAAAAGAATTGATAAGAATAATCAATGTTATGGTATTTTTCTAATCAAAAGCTTCGGATAAAGTATAGTTTTTCTTCTATTTCAGCTTGATCTTATCGATTCAGCTGAGCCTCTCACTGATTATCAAGTGGAATATATCGCTGATACTATATTAGATAATTCAACAAACCTCAAAGAACTTACGAGGGAAGAAGTGATTAACCGGTATAGTTCAATTCAATTCTTTGTATTAAAAGTTGTATTTTTAATGGTTTTAAGATGCTACAATAATCCTGATCTTCGAGAATTGCTTGCTCCTGATAGGATTGATGATAACGAGAATCAAAAGAAGAATAATGATACAGAGCCGATCAAGACTCCAAACGGAGAACAGATCCCAAATGGAACCAGTGCTTTACAGAAAGATCAAAGTAATCGTCCGATCGAACCAACACTAGAAAGAAAATCAAGCGAAGCACGACATACTGTAGTGTCTCCATTTGTTATGAGTGGTAACCGCTCACGTCAGTATATAATGGCTCGTCCTTTACAAGTCATCCCACACGATCCGTTCTAAATACTTTTTTTTCCATTCCATTTTGTCCTTTTAGAATTCTTCCTGATTAAATTTTGCCTGATTACATTTGGTTGTCTTACTAGATGTCCCATTTTTTTTTGTCCTTTTACATCGCATTCAAATTTTCTTTCTTTTAATATATTTTATTCTGTAATTTTTTGAACATAAATTCCCATAGGAATTGAAAAAAATATTGTATGTGAATGAATTGTTATCGTTGCGTCTAATGAATCTTGATGGTACGGGTGTGGGGTGGTTTGAATATGGGTGTGAGTATGAGTGAGGGTGTAATGGTATTATATCGACCTAACCAACATCCACACCCATACCCACACCGTCAAGAAATTATCATCTTCTATTCCATCCTTCGAAACGACATTTTTAAGTACGAAAAAAACATAGTCAAGGTAATTACGAAAAATAGTCATGGTTATTGCAACACAATATTGAAGATGATGCGCAATATTGTGTATATAAATAGATTGGTTTTGTTTGCTAAAAGTTAGTTTCTTCCATTTATAAGAAATGTGGTGCGAAAATTTGGGTACAGTACTCCAGTACATAGATGTAAATATAATTTGAATGTTTTTTTTTATGGTTATGTCATACCAAAAGAAATGGAAATAAGATGACGAAGACTATAAAAAAAACGAAATTGGTGATAATAAGCGTATCATAAGAATAGAATTGCATATACGTCATGAAAACATTATGATACATTGAGTCACTTAAACGAACGTAAATGGGGGAAGAAGCAACCAATTTCGATAAGCCACCTAAACGAACGTAAATGAGGGAAGAAGCACGCAATTTCAATAAGTCACTTAAACAAACGTAGATGGGGGAAGAACAAAGCGATTTCAATGAGTCACTTAAACAAACGTAGATGGGGGAAGAAGCAAGCAATTTCAATGCGTCAGAATGAAATATGTTGCGTTGGTTGCTGTCTATTTGACGTAAATGTCATGGTTAGTTGATTTTGTAAACCATTCTATGTTGAAAAAAAAAATTATTTTTACTAACTATAAAAACAAACGAAATAAGATACATAGACATAAAACAAACTCACATATTTCACAAGTACATCGTACAATACGCATGTAAGTTTGACTCTTAATATTAATTCGATTACAGTGTTAAGGCTTAAAGATGAATTCAAGTGTAATGATATATCGGCGTCACTCTTCAATAATTCTCCATTTTCTTCTATCTATTGTTCCTTTCTCTGTACATCTCTCTTCCATATAAAGGTATGCTCATTGTCAAACATTTATATTTTGAATATTTGAAGTAGCTAAGAAATATCATTACCGAGGACAACGACAAGCTACTCTATCTACTTTGTCATTCTATCATCTCGCCCCGTATTTGATCATTACATTTACTGTATAATATTCTTGTTCTTCCTAATATTGAAAATTCAGAAACTTCTTATAAGCAGCGTGACAATGATTTTTTTTTGTAGACCAATCTGAAATATCGTCCTGATTGAGTTATGTCATCTTATACATTGATTTTTATGCCGTATGAAAGCATATTTTACATTGGCTATCTACTTGTCAAATTTTCTTGAGGGTGTGGGTGTGAGTATGGATACTGTATTCACCTAGCACCCACACCCACGACGGATGACATAGAAGCTTACTTGAAAAATTCCTCCCCATGGTCTACTTCATTTGTGCGCTATGCTTTGTACAAAAGCATGAATGGGAGAGGCCACTATTCTCTTCCTGGAATAAGTAAATATTTGCTCAATCCATTAATTAATTATCATAATATCTTTGTATTATTTGACACAGGGTATCTATTGGTCAATGTTAAAGTGCGCTATTATTGGTTCCGGTCCCACTGGAATCTATATATTGAAACATCTTCTCGATTCCGGCGACATATATTTCGATCTAACTGTGTTTGAAAAGGCCACCGTTCCGGGAAAGGGCACGCCCTATGGATCAGATGGGTGCACCCTGAATGATCTATCAAATAGTTCCAGCCTTGAAATCCCGACCATCTGCCAAACCTTAGAAGCTTGGCTAATATCTCGAAGCGATGCTCAATTGCAAAATCTCAATATCAAACGAGATCACATTTCTGATCAGAGCTTCTATCCACGTTTTATTGTAGGCGAATACTTTGCCGACCAACTAAGCCAACTGGTTGCTCGTGGTAATAAAACTGGTCATATCATTCAGGTTAAGACATCTACACAGGTGCACGATGTAGAAGTTTTGCCTGAGGGTATACGCATTAGCTATATACAAAACAATACAGAGCAGTACTCCTTCTTCAGCAAGGTGGCGATTGCTACCGGGCATGCATGGCCTCAAGAGACTTCAACAACGCTGAACTATTATTTGTCACCTTGGCCCATTTCCAAATTGGACGGTATTAAGCCTGGAACAGTAGGTATTTTGGGAACTGGACTTACTGGTATCGAGACAGCGATCAATTTGGCATTGAAGCATGGCCGATTCGAACGCACTACAAAAGGCGTGATGCAGTATCTACCAAATGAGCATAGTAAGGATCTCCACCTAACATTATTTTCACGTAAAGGCATTTTACCTGAAGCGGATTTCTACGTTGCCGACCCATATGTACCATCGAATGTTTTTAAAGAAAGCAAGATCTACGCGTTATGTGCTCAGGCGGAAACTGAGGCAAATTTCCCGTTATTGGAAAATCTATTCGCTTTGTTTAAAGAGGAAATAATTTTGAGCGATCCTGATTACGCGGCGAACATAAACCTTGAGCAACTGACAGTTGAAGGATTTTATGCGAAATATTTTGAAGAGCGCATACTAGTCAATACATTCACACATGTAAAAGAAGATTTGACGAAGGCCCGACGAACTTATCAAACGAAGCAAACAATTCCGTGGCGCTTTGCAATTTTACGTATGAACGATTTGTTCGTCTCTGCCTGTCCATACTTTTCGGCCGAAGAATTGCAGTATTTCAATCAAAGCTTAAAACTTATATTGATGGATAATTACTCTTGCGTTCCTCACAAATCCATGGAGAAAATCATTGCGCTGCACGAGGTCAGAATACTTGATGTTCTTGCGGCTGGAGATAATTACACATTAAGCCCTCATTCGGATAATGGCGGAGCATTTTTAAAACTTGAAAATGGCGAAGTGCTCGAATTCCAAATGTACATCGATGCGACAGGTCAACCTGCATTGGGAGCAACAGATTTTCCTTTTAAAACTTTGCTCTCGCAGGGAAAAATCAAAGATGCGTGCGTAAACTATGCTTCGCAAGATAGATCAGAGAACGATATTCACCAAATACCACTAGAACAATTTTTAAAAACGGTCAAAACAATGGAAAGATATATCTATAAGGTTGCAGGTATTGCGGTGGATAAGTTGCTCCATCCTATTGGTGAGGATGGCATTGAGGTACGCCTTAATTGTGCAGCATTGCCATTTTTACTCGAACTACAACCACTTATTCAGGCGATCACGACTTCAAACACATTGGGCAAAACGATTGCGATGGATTTTATTTCTTACTATTCTGCCAATACGGTGAAATTAGATCAGGAAAGACTAACTTTAACCTGTCTTACAGATAGGTGCAAGTGTGAACAACTACCATAACATGTTGCATCTACGCCGCTAGGGGCATTCGCTGGCTTGAATCTTTCTATATCAATTTCAACAATCGCAAAGATCTTAATTCTACACCGTTACCTAGTCTAATAAAAAAAAGAATTAAGCCACATTGTTATGATCTGTGCTATGCACAAGATCATATAAAACTTCTTTTTTGTTCTTTCCTTTCTTTTCTATTTTCTTTGTTTTGTATACGTATATATATAGTTGTTTGTTTACTTTTTCAATGATTCAACAATAAATCTAAAAAGAACAGGCCATCTAACACACATAATATTAAGTGTTAGTTTAGGATATGGGTGGATATGAATGTGTGAAAGGAGGGGAGGAGTATGTGTGAGTATGGTTTTAGCGGAATGAGAACAGGACAGCCTTGTCCACCCCTTCACCTACACCGACACTCACTTTCATAGATCCATCCCCTCTAGCCAGCTTCGCTATTTTAGGATATTGCCTTTTTGTAAATATGAATCTGGCGAAGAAGATACAACAAACTCATAACACGAACAGACTCAACTAGAAAAGTTTGCAGTTTAAAAGGTTCTTCAAATTTCATTAGTCTATATAATATTTATTTTAGATGCCCAAAATTATGTAGAATGTAAAAGACTTTTAATCTCAACCGATTCTTCGCTTAATATTTTAAATAGCTATTACTGATCGTTTCAACAAGAATGTGTTCCTCCAAGAACTCTGTCTTTCACTGGTTAAAGAATAATAGAAGTTTCTGATAAAAAGAAGAGCAAAATAACACATTCTTATAAAGCGTAACCTATTACCTCAGCAGATGGTCGACTATTAGATAAGTTCATACTCATCCTTCAGGGAAAACAAAATCAGTTTAATCAAAGAGGCAGAAAGATTTAACTGTACCACCAAATGTAGTAATACAATACGAGCGTCTAAATGTGAAAAGAGTAGCGATGAAAAACATCGCAGTTTTTTAAATGAAGTTCTACGTCCTGTAGTTGGTAAAAAAATTCTTTTTCTACTTGATTCTTCGAGAATTCGAGCTGATCTAAAAAGAATTAGAGCAATATTGCTAAATTAAGATAGTCCATTATTAATTTTTCCCAAAGGATCAACTGGTCCTATTCAACCAGAAGTAAGCACAGGACAAACTTTCAAGCCATACTTTCTTCAATTTATTCCTGTATCCTAAATATCATAGCTATTTTGTAAACTATTATTAATTAAATAAATACAAAAAACAGCAGACAATGTATAACTTTTCACTAATACATGTATTATGACTCAAAGAACATTATATAACAAGATTCGAAATGAGAATGGCGTACCATTGCATAGAAATATCTATGAATAGTATCAATAACAGAAAATTGAATAGATGCGAGAATGCTTATTTCAAGAATATAGGTACTTATAATGAAAGTTCATATACAAAAATAAAATAATTATTATCCAAATAAATGTTCGTATTTTCTCATTAATTTGATCAATAAGATGTTGTCCAGTTGTACAGGATTTAGACTGGTTCTTCTTTCTAGTATAACTAATCCAGCTCCATAAGGTTGTCTTTCTACATTTGCAGAAGTTGCTGGTATTGAAAAAATGCATCGAGCAAATCGTTCTTGTTGATCGTTTCAGAAGTTTAGTTTTGTGTCAATGTGGGTGTTTTATTTCAATGATACCTACACGCACACCCCACACCCTTTCGACGTAGTGATTATCGGCAAAGTGTAGCAGACCCTAATAATATTATTATTTTGTTGATCAGAAATAGATGTATCATTCTAGAAAAAGAAATATATTGCGTGTAAAGATATTTTTTCCTTACTTTTTCAATACAAATAATAATATTGTTGAGTCCAATTTGAGCTGTATATATTCCTTCAGCTGTATTAATAATTTCTTGATTTTCGATACGTTCGATAATATTATTCATAGTTGTTTGAATTTGATTTTTTTCTTTCCCTTCGACATGCTAGATTTATTTTTATATAAGGAGCTAATAATATATTTGTTCTTCTTCTTAATGAGTTATTTTCGCGAGCACATTTCTGTTGAAAATGTGGGTAAAAATAAATGCTTGCAAATACTTATCCCACTTATTATCTTGAGTATCTCGTAGTTTTACAATCTGGGGAAAAAATGTAGCGTTAAAACGTTCTATTACGTCATTTGTTTGAGGATGATCAGTTGGTTTATAAAATATAATCCTTGATAACTAGAAATAGCAGCTGGTACTCCATATTTGCAAAAATATTCGGTAAATAGGGCTTGAACAGTTGTCTCTGCAGTGCAATTAGGTAATGCTATTGTGGTAATGTGACGGGTGAAATAATCAGTTATTACCAGGACGTATCGATTTTCACGAAGAGTACGTTTTAAAGGGTCGCAGTAGTCAATTACGAAAATCAGGAAAACTATTTTTACGTCCTTCTATATGAATAACCTTTTCAATATTGTATTCTTGAATTAAATTAGTAATTCGTTTTACCCGTGCATTATGTACTCATTTTTCCATAATATGACACAAAAGGTAATGATCATTACGTAGAATAATGCCGCGACCTAATAGGATAATTTGGATACGTGTAAAATACTTGTACATTGCGAGAGCCTCTTTCTGTATAGTACTATATTAACGTTCACATGGTGTCATTACTTGATAATGGTAGTATAAGTTGCGAATTTCACCGTTTTCCTTCTGTTTTAGTACACCACCTATACCAATACCACTAGCGTCAGTTGTGAGTATTAAATGAATGTTCTCAATCGGATAATTAAGAAATAACGGCTTACTAACAGGCATCGGTTGTAATTCATGAAACGCTTTCGATTGAGCGTATTGCCATTTAAATTTATGTCGTTTATCTTTCGTTAGATTGGTGACGTCGTGTATTGGTGCTGCGACGGTAGCAAACTGAGGGAGAAAGTTTCGATACCAATTCAAAGGACCGATGAATTTATTGACTTAAGCGAGAGTTTTTGCTTGTTTAATCGCAATAATCGTGTCGGTTCGTTCTTGTAAATGTGTGATGCGATGCTTACTCATAGTGTGACCTAGATAATCAATTTGATTAGTGGCAATGACACACTTAGGACGATTAAGAATGAGATTATTCGTTCGTAACGCAATGAGAATAGCCTCTAAATGTTGAAGATGTTCTCCGAAAGATTTAGAAAAAAGTATAATATCATCCAGGTAAATGGAAGAAAATGATCAGTCATGATCTTTTGAAAGGTAGGAAGCGAATTTTTCAGTCCCATTGGTAAGACATTAAATTAATATAAGCGAAATGGGTAACAAAAGCAGTTTTTTTTATCTGCGTCACGTATCAATATTTGATAAAATGATAGATAATATTATTATTCCCATAAATTCCATAATCGTCTGTTACAAATAAATGAAATAAATATGTCACTATGATGAATGAAATGTAAATCAAGTTTACCTCTTAGAATATCTTTAATTGAAATATGTAAAAAATGATCTTCTATAGCATGCATAAATGCATTGAGTTTATTATTAATTAAAACTGAAAGTTTGCCAACTCTTCTTAGAGCTTCGTGATGATTTCGTATTGTATCCGAATATTTATTGACAAGCCGCATTGTTCGATTACTAGCTTGTTGTGTATTGTTCACTTCCATAGCTAGTTTGAATTCGCCTTCTGTAACATGTAGAATTTGAGCTTTCTGAAGTGTTGAATATGATTCTTTTATTGTCTCCAGTTTATTCTTTAAGTTCATTATTGTTTGAATCATATTCACGACATCTAAGGATAGCTGCGCTACCCATACCAATAGAAATTGGAATTAAATAACACATATCTGCTACCATTGGGATGACTGTCGGAAATGTGATAATTTTGTTTGCTGGTCTATAATCTGGTTTATATTGTGAAATAAGTCCAGAAGTTGAGTGAACAATATTCGGTCTTACTATTATCAAATCATCTGATTTGAAGAATTTTGTGAGGGTGATTACTAATAACAAAACAAATCTCAGATTAATACTTACCATACGATCAACTGTTTTATTGTATAAGACCTTAATCTTCCTTTCTTTGGTAATATTCCTCTTCAAAATGACTGTTCTTATAAATTTATTCCCTCGACTGTATGGAGGGTGATGGGCATTGAAGTGAAATGCATTTCTCTGTCCGTGGTCTTCCAGCAGGGCAAAGTTAGTACATATTGTTTTGGTATCGGTGGTTCAGTAAGAATTGTTTGATGCCATGAATGAAATTCTATTCTAGAATATGATATGAAAAGAAAGCAAAATAAGACAAAAACGAAAATAAGAATCGAAACTTACTTATTAAGTGGAAGTACTGAGTGAGTAGAATTGTTTGATGAATGATATTAAAAATGTGCAAACTGTTATATATATATATATATATATTGTATCAATAGATTATACTCCCTTCATATTCACATATCCTCGTTACCTTATTATACCTTTTTCATATTCACATATCTACGTTATCTCATTTTTAGATCAGCCTTGACTCATAGTGCAGATATAATAAAAGTAGACCTCGGTCTTCTATGAGTAAGTGATGATATAAATATATATATCCTTGTGTCTATGGTTAGTAAACGATAACCTTCTATCTTATATAAGAAAATGGAAGAGTAAAGAAAAAGAATGTGTGTGGGAGAGATAACGTGGATATAAAAGGAGGAGTCGAAGAGTAATACGAGGAGCATAATTTTAGTGTGTAAGTCGGAGCATTTTATATAGAAGACTGGTAAGAACATTATCTTCTTTTTACAACAGTCATGTGTATTTATATTTATTTATTTTATTTTATATTATTCTTTGTAGTGGTATTAACTTATCAGCTATTGTATGTGTTTATTATTTAATCAATCTAAATAAATATTATGAAACTCGTAACGTATATTTCATTTTGTGAATTAGAAACGACAACAGTATTTTTATCAAAGAAATATTTCGTTACATATATATATTACAGGAAAGTATGAGTGTTCTTGTTATCACCTTCAACCATGATACGCCGTTCTCTTTCTTTTTCTCTTTACGTCATAAATACATTGTTGAGTTATATAAACATAACAAGATTCTTGGGTTATTTGCATGTGCGCAGAATTTTTGGGTAATATGTATTTTTGTTCTTATTTCTAGATATATATACGTCGATGGGTCAGGGAACGATGAGCACATGAGTGTTTAGGTCCATAATATCGACGAAAACAAAGAAAGCCGAGGCAAATACAAATCAACATGGATACAGGAATTTATCGATGTCATCTTTTCCGGGCCAGCGCCCTCACCCACACTCAGATACTTGTCTGCGTAAGTATTCTTGTGCTCATCGTTCCGGTTCCCATTCAAAACTTACACACAATGGCAGTAAACACAAGATCAAAAACAAAACAGACGACCGTCAGACCAGCTATTATCAGCAAGCAACCAAACACACACGAATTTCTCAACAAACTAATCAAAGACGACGCGAAACTTTTTATAAACCAGATTTATAAGTCTACCAGTTGTGATTTTTTTATCAACAAAGAACACATCTTTCCATTTATCGATCTGGCTGAGCTTCGAACTCTGGGAAAGTATTCGTGACCAAGACGGTGAGTAATTGTTTATCTTATTGATTAATTGGCAGTTATTTTTCTTTTTAGGTGATTATTTAACTAAATGGATGCGATGTTATGGTTCACCAAAGACAAGAAACCAATGGAATCATCAATTTTTTCTCATCACATTGTGCTTCGTTCAAAATTAGATAAACTACCACTACTTTCTACCAAGAAAACAGGTTACCGAGGTGAGTACATATAATTTTTCATAAAATTTAACCTGTATTTTCTCATTTTTAGCATCTCATCTATGTGATACAACTGGGTGTTTATCCGAAAGCCATATTATTGTCGAAACAGAAGAACAAAACGATTCTCGAAGATTTTGTCAAGGCATATTTTTACACATCTATCAACATTCTAATGGCAAAAAAAATCATTCAAATCGAACCATGTCAACATGGAGTTGATTATCAATCAACAGAGGCCGATCCATTCAAATACAGTTGTCGCAAGATCAAAATTATGATAACAGATGATAGTGAACTTTCATCTCTTAGTGGATAGTTTTTTCTTTTGTTCAAGAAAATTTGTATTTTTGAAAAATATTTTCAAATTTTCTCTGCACTATATAGAAGGCAATAACTGCCTAATTCGAGTACGAATATAAATGGAAAAAATTCAAAATCAAGTATTTTCACAAAAAAAGAAATAGAAGTAGATTTTATAATTATAGTTTGTTAGTTTCGAATCAAATGCATAATACTGACAACACAAGCAAAAATAAAAAAGAATACAAACATAACATAGCTTGTCTTTTCAATACAATGAGACGTCGATAGATATAAAATAATTAATAAAATTACTTCAATGCGTATGAGAAAATGAAAAGAAAATGAGAACAAACCGCTCATCCTCAATTTAAATAAACAAAATCCTCTTTAAAAACAAAGATAAATAACATCTTTATCGTTATAAAATAAATATAAAACAAACAATAAAGATTCTTTTTTCTATCAAAATGTACTTTTTGATTTTCTTGGACTAGCTCACATAAAATTATGATATTATATAGTTAACTATAATATAGAATAATGTTTTTCGTATATATCGTTTCTTGTATGTTTCTTTTTTTTTGATGATATGGCATATAGACATGATGATGATAAGAAAGAGCATTGATAAATGTATTCTGTTGTTATGCTGGGTATTTGATATGTGCTTATTGCATGAAAATATGTATCTTTATTCTTTATTTCAACTTTATATTTATAATTAATTGAAAAATATATTATTTGATTATGAAGAATAAAACATATATGAGATATTTATTGTCATTAATATAAATAAAAACATAGAATAAGAATAAATAAGTACGAAATGATTTAAATAAGAATAAAATAAATATTTTCACAACATAAATACAATTCAGTTTTTTCTTTTTTTTTCTTTTAAATAATTAATTTGAAAAATTGAATAATAAAATAAATTGAAATAATATAAAATATATTATTGTTGATATTTTCTAAAAATAAATTAAAGGTAAAAAAAATAAAAAGTGTTTATATTAAATGAATTTATTTACTTATTCCATTATTTGTCACTGTTAATGATCGATTTGCATTAAGACAATTCGTTAAATTAGAATTACAATTATCTTGAGCACAAAAACAAACTTGCTGAATAACAGTAGAATTATCAGTTGGATTTGTTGCATTTGAAAATATATAAAAATATGATGAACTTTCATTATAATATTGTTCAATATTTGAACCTTGTTCAGAATAAATAGACATAATTTCTTCAACTAAGAAGAATCCATAGTCATCACCCGTCAATGCTATTGATTCAGATTGATCTCCATCAAGAAAGATGAGACATAAAACTGTATTGTTAATAACATAATCATTACATTTTGTTAAATTAATATAAGGACTTTCATTTTGATACATTATACAATGATAACTTACACTTAACGATTCACTTACAGAAATTTTTGAATCCATACATGAAATTGATGTTTCTAATTGAGGAAGAAATGAAGGTAAAACAGATGGTAAAGAATTTGATTGAGTTTGACTTTGAACAGAAGATTGACATGAATCAATATCTGTATTACAAAAATCTGTAGCACAAATACAAAGTGTTGATATATTAAATGTTTCATATGAAAGTGGTGAACAAATTCCATAACCAACATCAGTTTTATCAGAAAATCCTTGACATCTCTCTGAAATACTTTTATATGTATTTGTTATTTGAATACAATCATTATTAATTGATGAAACTGAACCATTACTAAAAGATTGATAAACACAATATTCACAATTAGTAACATTATAAACATTATTGTAATCATTATATTGACATGTTAAACTTAAACGATTTTTTGTTTGATTAGTTATCATAAATTGATCAATATTCATAAATCCTTCACAAGTTATAACAAAAAATAAAATTAAGAAAAATAATTTTTGTAACATTATTGTTTTTGAAGTTTTTCTTCAAATAAAATAATATATAAAATGATAACAATTCTAGGGAAATATTTTTTCTTATATAAATTTTGAAAACAATTTATTTGTTTTTTCTTTATTTTAAGTATGACATTTAAGAGAATAAATTTTATAAATATTCAAAAATATTTTCTCGGTAAATATAAAAAGAACTTAATAGCGTTTAATAGCTTCCACGAAAACTATCAATTGTCGTCTGCTATCAACATATAATTTTGAGAAAAATATTTCTTTTCTTTTATCAAATAATAATTATAGTCTTTTCACTCATTTTCTTAACATGCAAATAAATGAGTTTATTTATTCATCTATCAAGATTTCAGTGACCTTGACATAAAATTAATTAATTTTGTACTTATACTATATTTTATTACCGAACAATACATTTACATATTTTAAAACTGTACGGGTATAGACATCTGTGTCGCTATCTATTACTTATCTATTTTATTCGTTCCTATAATTAAATTATTCTATATCATTTGAATATCAAAAATGTCTTTATCGTTACGTCCTTTTGTAGGTATTGCTGTCATTGCTGTTTATCCTAGTCGTTATCCTCAAAGTGTACTTATATCTGAACGTTTATCAAGTCATGGTAAAGGTGGATATCAATTACCTGGTGGTCATCTTGAATATGGTGAATCATTTGATGAATGTGCAAAACGAGAATTAAAAGAAGAAACAAATCTTGATTGTTCATCATTTAAATTAGTACATGTTACAAATACAATTTTTTCTAAAGAAGATGGTGGACCAAAACATTATGTTACACTTTTTATGAAAACAATTGTTCAAGATGATTCAACATTAAAATGTATGGAACCACAGAAAAATTCCGATTGGATTTGGACGAAATGGAATGATTTAAAAACAAAAAAATTATTTACACCTCTTCAACAAGCAGTTGATGATTCCAATTTTAATCCATTTGATGATTAAAAATTATTTTTTATTTTAATTATTTTCACTATTATAAGATATTATTTGATGACTATTTTTAAAAATAAAAATACTACTTAAATATTTTTCTTTTTCTATTAATAAGCGACATATAAGACGAGAAAAATAGATGTTATAACTAATTTGATTTATTTTTGAAGTTTGATAATCTATATTATGTAAGATCTCATCGATATTTTAGAGACAATAAAGCATGAGTTTAATAGGAGGTAATAGATAATGATACGATTATTTCCAGTGTGAGTGTGTTGGTGGTTGATTATTATTGAAGATTTTTGGATCGTTTCCTAAGTTTATGTGTTTGTAAGTATTCAAAAAACTCACTTTACCGAGTAAATCAACGCTATCTTCTGTACTGGTTACTTCTGACGACATATATCCTTATCTAGCACATAATATGTACTACACATTGTAATACAGCTAGACCCGAACTTCAATTTATCATCTTAATGTACAAGAAAAGATCAGTTAGTGCATTTATACTAGAAGTTTATTCTTTGTGACAACGAGTATCTTGAGATCAAATTCTGTAGAAAAACTAAACCCGGCTCGAATCTATTCAATAAAATATAATCTCTTATATCATCAATATCAAGCAAATTTTCTAAAGTTCCATTTCTTCTAAAGCTTTATCAATTAGTAATTTTAAACGTGCCATATTTACAATAATAGATGCTTGGTTTCGGGCATCACCACCTCTTGCATAATCAAACTCATATTCCTTTCGTCCATAGATCTGATAATATTGTTTTCGAACATGAGAAATATGATTTAAGAATGCACCATCCATTGTACCACTTTCACCCATATTAAAACCTTGCAGTGGATCAGTAACATAATAATCCATTACTATTGCATGTGCACCATGTGGTAGCATCGGTAGTGTTAATGATACACCACCACATGATGTAATTAAAATAGTTGTATGTAATAGTTTCTCAATCTGTTTATCAAATGGAATAGTATGCCATTCAATTACCTCAGTAGATATATTCGGATAAGTAGTTCTAATGAATGTTTCTACTTCTTTCAAGTTCACAATTGCACGATGTCTTTTTGAACCAGAACGCATGTTTACAGAATGTGATTTATTAGTAATGATAATATGATGCTTTTTCGGAATAAAATTAGGGTCAAATCCATTATATTTTATAATTTTTGATCTCCAATTATAGAAAAGTGCTTCACGTCCATGATTTTCTTTTATTTGTATTATTTCGAAAATAATCATGTGTCCTCCAACAAGTAAATTATCAAAACATACATATTTTGTATTGAAAGATTTCATATATGCCTCAAATTCTACCATAGGATTATCTGTTAATGCACCTATTACATATTGATAATATGTGCGGAATAGAGTTGTATTTGCTGTTTTATTTAAATGCATAATAACTAATTTCCGATCAGCTATATTCATTCGTTCCATCGAATATGAGATAGATCCAAACTCTTCCCACAATCCATGTCCAATATTGACAGGAGCAAAACGAGTTTTGAAAAGACTATGTAATTGATGAAGTCTTGTGAAGTGTTTTGTTGGATATGTTATATCTACAATAACTGGTGTAAATGGTGTCCCTCCACCCATCGAAAGTGATACAAATCCAGTTTTATTATTATTTGTACTGAACTGATATAACATACCTTTAGCTGAGTCATAAAAAATTGGTTTTGGTTTACTTTGAGCTAATCGAAAATACTCAAATCGACCAGTATCTTTGTTATAGCATGTATTTTTAAATATACAAAGACGATATTCCCATTCATTAATATCGTTTCCAGCCCCGGTACAGTGAAATTTAGAGGAATATTGATGTTTTTGTCGCCGTAAATAGGATATTGCTATTTGATTACTGAATATGTTCTTTTTCGCAAAACTGAGTGTTGCTCTGTTAACATTTAATATGTTGCTATTTTGTAAAAATAATAGATTTGATTTAAGAGAGTTACTGAAAATCAAGGAGAACATAATTGCACCCATAGTAGCCGAAATTATCACAAAATGAAATGTTTTTTTACAATAAAATCGTGATTTATCATTTGACTCTTTTTTCACAAGTACTTCTACCATTTAAACAAATAGAATTTTGATCTACAAAAAAAAATAGTAGAAATAGATATATTATGAATAGAAATGTGTGGTGTGAGTGGCAACATCAACAGTTCCACATTTTGGACATCGATAGATTCAGTGTCATTGATCTGTGATATTAAAATATCACCTGTGTAGAAGCTGTCCGTAAAAACATACTAATTTAAAATAGATGACTGTTTATCAAAATGTAGGCATCAATTTTACTTTTGAAACTCGATGAATAAATAAAAAAAGTTTTACTTTATTCAAGGTCGATTTTTTACAAAATAGAACTAAAAAAAAATTACAGTGTGGAGGATATAGTTAAATACAAAAGTTTGTTTAAACAGTACAAGAGAAATATACACAACTCCGCATGTATAAGCAAATCATAAAGAATGAAAAAATTAAGTGAAAAAATAGAACGAAAGAAATAAACAGAGAAAACGGTGGAAGACGCAAAAAGGAGAAAAAATTCAGAACTAATCGTCTTGTACATATTCAGGCAAATAAAACAACATTAAAATGGCTACAATAAATCAATATAATAATCATATATAACTGTCACAGAAACCAGATTATATAAACATTTTATAAACACCAGAAATCATTTCATGGAATTTTTCTGATCGTTTTTCATGATTATTTATATTTTTTCAAATCCTAGTAATGATTCATTACGTATAAAAATATCCGCTCCCGAAAAAATTCAAATCAGCTCGGAAACCTTTTTCGAGTTTTTGGAAAGGTTTTCGAATGTTAGAAAATCATTGAAGTTTTGCAAATATCAAATTTGAGAAAGTCATAATCAAGTTCTTTTCTACGATATTTTCTTTATTAAGAGTTGATCTTATATTAACAAAATGATAGTTTTAATCAATAACTAGTTGCTTTTGATAAGCTTCATGTTCTTTGTTCTCTTCGCTGTTATATCAAATAGCGGATGTAAGACAGTTCTTTCGCTTTTGTAATTGATACTATAATATAATCCTGTTGTTTGACTGTAAAAGACTACGTATTGATTTCTTTGCAAAAAATAAATACTCTTATATAATCCAAATAACTAAATATTGTATTTATCATGCTATTTTCAGTCGAATTCATTAAAGACTGATATAAAGTTTATTAACGACAGTGTAGGATATAGATAAAAAATTCAATTATTTATCAAGACTTGACGATATAATAAAATTCGTTTATAACAACTTATTATAAAGTTGAGACACGTTATCGATAATACTTAAATATCTTGTTGAATTTGAATTATAAAAATAAATAAAATATCGGATATTATTTTCGTTTGATAGAAGAAACATATTTTTGTGTTGTTTCTTGAGATAATTAAATCAGTTTTTTTTCTGGGAAGTATTCTTTTTTCCCATCTTAAATATCTGCATTTTTGATCGTGCAGTCTCTTATATACGCAACAAATACAATTTTAACATTTTAAATAGAAAGTCCACGCAAGCAATAAACATACAAATGAATAGAACTGATATTATTCCATTCTTTTAATAATATGTAAATACTAACACGTCAGTGTAATTGCGCAAAATTTACCCAATGACATTATCGTATTTCACCACGTGGCAGAAATGGAAACTATATAAATATTTATCATTCGACTTTTATATGAATATTGAAAAATGGCAGAACATTCAACTACAAATAAAAAACCAGTCATCGCTCTTGATTGTGATGGAGTTCTTTTGGATTATCATGCAACTTTTGGTAAAATCTATGAAAAAACATTTGGAAAACAATTATCAGTTGTTTCACCAAAAGCTTATCATGTAAGTTTAATTAAATATTTTGCTAAATACATAAATAATCAATGTGTATAATTTGTATAGGTGAGAGAAATGTATGGTGTTAAATTTACTGATGAAGAAGATAATCAATTTGAGGAAGTATGGAGGGAACATGCTTGGAAAACAATGCCAATGTATGATGGAGCATTAGAAGCATGTCTTTTATTACATGAAGCTGGTTATGAATTAGTTTGTGTTTCAGCAATGCCTGCAGAATATGTTGAACATCGATTAGAAAATTTTCGTTTACATGGTTTTCCTATTGATAAAGTTATTGGTACAGGTTATGGTCATAGTGATTATAAGAAAAATCCAAAAAAACAAATTATTGAAGATCTACATCCAATTGTATTTGTTGATGATTTAAAAAGAAATTTTAAAGATATTCAAGATGTTCATACAAAATTTGTTTTTATTGATCGAGAATATCAAAATACTCCCAATTCAAATGAAATTATTTATTATGATGTTAAATATTCATCTCTTCTAGAATTTGCTCAAGATTTTCTTAAAAGTGAAGAACATGGACGAAGTATTGATTGGTCAGAAAGACCGGCTCATCTTATTCCTTCGAAGTAATTCATAATGTACTCGTTTTATTCTTTTAATAAAATATTTTTCTGCTTTATATTTCAATTGATAATCAAAAAGAAATTATATAAAAAAAGAAATATTTATTTAATAACAAAATCATAACTATAAATAAGAATACAGATTTGATCGAAATAAATAAAAGAGTTAATCTTGAGCAAAATATTCGCATTCTTATCAAATTTAATTGATTTAGCAAACCCCATGTTTTGCATGTAGAAATCGCTTGATAAGTTCGAATTTTTATCTTGTATGTATGATGTGATCTAAAACCTTTATTATATTTCGAACTTGCACTTAAACTTTGTATTTTTTATCAGTATGCGATTTATTACTCATGGCCTAGTTGACGCTATTGATATTCGAAATAAATATACACATACATTATAACTCTTAAATGATGCCTGTTATGTTAGAAATCGTTACAGTTACCAATAGATCATATAAATGAACTTCGATTAATTCATTAATGAAATTTTATACATCAAATAATAGGAATAAAAAAATATAAATTTTTTTTGTGATACATAGTTTTTTGTTGATAGTTTGCTTTTTTTGTGCTTGAACTTATATAATAAATTATTTTTTGATAAAAAGTTTCTATTCGTTATGATGCTACTTCTACTTAGTGGAAAAAAATACATGTCATTCATCTGTATAATCAATCTTCTATCAATTAATTAGAACACATTTTCGACGAAAAGAGAACAGTCATTTTTTAGTTTTCGACGAAAGACCTAACTATTCAAACATATGTGTATTTTTCACATCATTGTGTGAAACGTTTATTGATATTCGTTGAGTAATTACAGTGTGTTATCTTAACTAGAGCATAATAATGGATTTATTTCAATATAATAAAAAGAATTTTGAAATATATGTGAGATATTGTCTACCACTTTCTAATTGTTTCTTTTGATTTTATCTAGAATAAAAACTTCTTTTATATGCAAAATATTTTGTTAGTTTATATAAAAAAATTTTCGTTTAATATTAAAATAATAGATAATATTCAAGAAACAAACTTCTATTCTATATTTAATTACAGCTGACAGAATTATGATAGATGTCATTGGTCGATTCTCTATTGTTTTATATTAATCATAAAAGTAAAGAAGAATTTTTTTTCTCAAATCATATTTGATTAAAATCAAATCCGTAGAATAAACAAGTAAAATATTTTAGTATTTAGTTTTTGTAGAGAAAATATAATTATATATCAATGGCTTTTTCCTAAAACCAATCAGATTAGTTTTATCTAACACGAAACAGAATAATTCTCACGAAAAAAAACAATATTTCTCTCGTTTTTTTTTCTTATTTAAGATAGTTCATAAATATTATTCAAATAATGATTAGTTTTCATGAAAAACAATTGAGAATTTGATATGTTGTACAAAACCAAAGTGAATAAATTGATGGTAAAGATCCTTTTTTTTTATTTTGAAAATAGTTTAAAATCATTTATTTTATGATGTTTAATTCGAAGTAAGTTCGATCCATAGCTAAACATGCAAAATTTTGTATTTTTCAAAGATTTTCCATTATTAGCATTATTTTACAAAGGATTAATATAAATCTTTTATAATCATATTAAATAACGATCGAATGTAACATAATATATTTTATTCTTTTTCGTTTATCGCCCGTAACTTGCCTCAGATAATTGTGCGAGAAAATAGTTGATAATCAAAATCTATGCGGTACAAATATTTAAAAGAAATAATGATTTTATTATAATTTATTCTTACATTAATTAAGATAGAAATAGATTTTATGAAAGAATCTTAGAAAAAATGGATTGTACATTCACAATATTTTGAGTTCTGTTTCCTCAAAATGATGTGCATACCTGTTCAATGCACGGAGAATAATGGTGCGCAAAAGTATGATGTTAGAAACACAATATCAAATTAATGATCTATATATATTTTATTTTGATTGAATAAGTTATTTCTCGTACAAAGAGTGTACGATGATGAATATTATCGAAGGGAAGTGAATTTTACATGATAGTCCTGTCTGAAACAACATGCAAAATGTATGAGGTCATCATTGATTCAATCATACCATTGACTGGATGAATAAAATCTTGTTCATTTTGTATTGTCTTAGAATATAAATAAAATAATATCTTATGAACAGGTAATATTAAATGATTCAACTAATCAAAAAAAATACAAATAGAAATTTCCTAAGATAATATTTGTTATTTTAGATAAATAAATCTTTTTTAAAAAAAGAGCAATGTATATTCGTAAACATATTCTAAATATTCCATTTCGATGTTATTCCAGTGAATCTCGAATAAATTCATTTATTAAATCAAAATTAATGTCAGCTGAAGATGTTGCACAGAAATTTCCTGAACAGATAACAATTGGAGCATCTGGTTTTACACCAGCTGGTTATCCAAAAGTCATACCAAGTGCTTTTGCTCAAAGAATTAAAAATTCTAAAAATCCAGAAAATTTTTCCATTAATTTATATACTGGTGCATCAACTGGTGATGAACTTGATGGTGTTCTAGCGCGAACAGGTCGAATGAAATTACGAATACCTTATCAATCACATCCTGATCTTCGAAAATTAATTAATGAAGGAAAATTAAATTTTATTGATATGCATTTAAGTCATGTTGGAAGATATATTAGAGAAGGAATTTTTCCACCAATTGATGTTGCTGTTATTGAAGCTTGTGATGTTACACCAGATGGAAGAATTTATTTAACGAATTCAAGTGGAATGAGTGGAACTTATTTAAGTTTAGCTAAAGATATTTATATTGAATTAAATCAAGCACATCCATTAGAAATGAAAGGACTTCATGATATTTATTTACCCGAATTACATACTGGAAGACCAATTAATATTGATTATGTTGATGATAGAATTGGTTTGTTTATTTTAGTTTTTTTAAATAACAAAATCAATCTCTTCTATCGATTTTTCAGAAAAAAACTTTCACGATTTATTATTTTAAGAATTTTCTAAAATCTTTCATAATGAATAATTAAATTGAATCTAATATAAATTTAGGTACACCATATGTTCGTGTCAATCCTGAACGCATAAAAGGAATTGTTTTAACAGATAAATTTGATTCATCTAAAGGTAATTTTATTAATTAATTCATTTTATTAAAACAAATAATTTAACAAATTAAAGGTTTTAAACAACCTGATGATGCAAGTTTTAAAATAGCAAATAATATTCTCGATTTTATTCTTCATGAAGTTGAATACGGACGTAAGTTTATTTTCTTTTTTTATTATTTAAAATAAAATTTGTTCAATAAATAAAAAGGAATTCCAAAAAAATTACTTCCATTTCAATCTGGTGTTGGTAATGTAGCAAATGCTGTTTTAGCTTGTATTGGTAAGAAAATGAAGAAAAAAAGAAATTAATTTGTAAAGAAAATGTATTTGTTTCTATTTTAGCTCGTGATAAACGTTTTAATTCAATTGAAATGTATACCGAAGTAATACAAGATTCCATATTTGATTTATTAGATAGTGATAAACTTCGTTTTGCATCAACAACAGCCTTAACATTTTCAGCTCAAGGACAAATAAGATTTTTTAAAGAAATAAATGAACTGAAATCAAAATTTATTTTACGTCCAATGGAAATATCGAATAATCCAGAAGTTATTCGTCGAATGGGTCTTATTACTATGAATACAGCATTAGAAGCTGATATTTATGGAAATGTTAATTCAACACATGTTCTGGGCTCATCTATGATGAATGGAATTGGTGGAAGTGGAGATTTTACAAGAAATGCTGTAAGTTATTTCTTCTTTTTCCTATTAGATTAAATTTTGATTGTATTTAAATAGTATATATCAATATTTATGGCTCCATCAATAGCAAAAGGTGGAAAAATATCTGCATTTGTTCCAATGGTTTCTCATGTTGATCATAATGAACATTCAGTCCAAGTAATGGTTAGTGAACAAGGTTTAGCTGATTTACGTGCTAAAACTCCTAAACAACGAGCTAAATTAATAATTGATAAATGTGTTCATCCAATGTATAAAGATCAATTAAATGATTATTTTCAACATGCACAACGTGTTTCATTTGCTCAACATACACCACATGATTTAAAACAAGCACTTTCATGGCATGTTAGATTACAAGAAACAGGATCAATGCATCCCGATCATCAACAATCACAACAACCAACTAGTAAAGATACTGAAAAAGCAGCAAAGAAAATGGATGAAACAGTACCAAACAAAAAATAATTTATTTTATTCTTCTCTCTTCTTTTTCTAGTCAATTATCATTTATCGTCATTTTATAATAATCTTTAGATTACCTTTTTCTTCCTATTAATAAAATATTCTAGTAGAAATATTTATTATGAATTCTACTATGATTTAGAGATATTTTATTGCATTTTAAATAAGTATTTCGATATATATATATTGATTAAATGAAAATGAATATTTTAATTGATAATAGTATCTATTAACGTATTATTATGTTCTTCACATTTCTATCTACCAATTGTAATATTTACAATGATTTGATTAGATTTTTGTTCGATCCCAATATATCTCATCATTTCTATGTGGAAGATCAGATGATATATAAGGAATTGAATAAACAATATCTTTCTCTTCTTTTTGTTTTTGTTTTTGTTGACGTCGTTGTTTCTTTTGATTTTGATTATAATGACGAAATAAATGACGAAGTTCGATCGTAGATAATACTAATGATGATTGACGTTTCTTTGTGTCATGTATGTTTTTTTGTTTATGTTTATCTTTTGTTTTTTTGTTTCGACAACGAAGAAATAAATGAATGAGTGGTTTACCAATAAGTTTAAATAATAGAAATGCCATAGCAAACAATTCAATAATAAGTGTACAAAATAAAAGAGTATGAAAAGCAAGTTCAGATGTTCGAATAATAGGTTGTTGATCATTTTGAAGAAAAAATGGTTGTTCACTTATAGTTACTGTAAATGTTGTACGTTCACTAATATATCGAAGATATTCACCATCTTGTTCATAGACTAAACTATCTGAAATTGAAATTTCACCAATTGTTGGTGCCCAACGACCACTGTAGATAGTTGTACCACCTATTTGAAGAGGACTTGTTTGATTAATTACTTTGATAAGTGAAATGGATACAGTTGATGTACGAGCTAATGTTTCATTTGTAGTAAATAATAATGTGCATGTATCAAGTGTTTGAAGTGTACTGGAACCATTGATAATACCAGGACCACGAAGACATAAACGAATTCCACCAATAAAATAAATTCCTGATACATTTAATTGTACTTCTAATTGATGTACTGGTAGAGGAAATGTAGCAGTAAGTGTTACATCATCTGGTTGAATGAGACATGATAAATTTGATAGAGTTAAATACTTTACACCAGGTTTATTCTGTTGAATAGTAATATTTTCACAATCTGCACCTGTATTTATTAAATCTAAACTCATTGTAAATGGTTGTGCATCAAGCATATCAAAAATAGGCCATCGACTTCCATCAGGATTCGATAAAGGTAATTGAAGAGCATTATCAAAATTAGCATTACGCATAGTAGTATCACATGAAGCATGCATGGGACCTGATGTTTCAATTGGATAAAGTTGATGATAATCTGCAGCAAACCAAAAAGTAAATCCAAAAAGTACAGCAATAGCAAATGAAGATAATCCACCAATCCATCGTTCACCTTCTCCTACAATATCAGTATTTTTCAAAATTTTTTTTGCATTATCTCGATGACGAACTATTGTCTGACAATTAAATACTTTTCCCATAGTCATAATAAACCAAATAATAAAACATAATGCTATAGCAAGTGATGTCCAAAATAAAGGTGCAATAATAAGACATCGAACTGACTGACCAATAGTAAAAACATTTTGTACAATAATATCATCATAACTATTTGTATCTGGTGAATTTGGATAAGCGAATGTTTGTATATATGATGTATAATTAATAAGTGTAACATCATCAATAGAACCAAGTGGACAAAATGAATTGGATAAACATGAACTACATTCTATGGATGGTTCATTACCTGGATTCTTCGTTTGAGATGGACATATTGTACAAATTCCATATCCAGTTTCATTTTTATATGTACCAGATGGACATGGTGCTGACTGAAATATATAAGCATAAAAATCTCCATAATCGTACCATATAGATTGGTAACCAGGTGCTTGTGATGGTACTAGTATAACAAAATTATAAATAACTAGTAAATATAAGTTATTAGACCATAAAACCATTTGGAAAAAGGTAACTGAAAACTCAAAATCTATAATTTGTTGATTATTAGGAAAAACAGAGAGAGGATTTTGTAATGGTATATCAACAGCAAATGTCCATACTTCTGATTGAGACCAAGAACGAGAATTGATTGAATAAAGAAGTATTGCAACTGTTTTATCATCAATCCAAGCAACTGATTGACCAAAACCACTATTTGGAGGTCCATAATCAGTACGCATTATATTTATATTCCATTGAGATGTATTTGTACTAGTCGTATTTATATTGAGCAATAAGACTACATTGACCAATGGAAAACCAAATATGGCCATTTGTCGTTCATTATTTGCAGCTATTGACATTTGATTGGCAATATTATAGGTTGTAGCTAACGCAGCAGTCTGTGAGAATTCGTCACTGTCCATAGTGATATAATTAATAGATCTAAATGGTTGAAGTTCACAAATATATGTGATAATTATAGCGATGTTTGGATTAATGTATGAGATTGCATATGCAACTCCAATAACATATGTATCTGTAACATCAATTGCATGTGGTATAATTGGATAAGGATATGAAAAGAATGTATATAAATCTGTTAATTCAATAATTTCATTATTAACAATATCGAACATGAGAGCAAATGAATCGGCAAATACACAAGCATATTTTTGAGAAGGAACAACTTTAAGTAACATATATTCTTGATGTGTACCATTCCAAATGAGTGTATCACGAATACTTACAGTACTCATAGTACCATTTACTAAAAATTTAAAAAAAAATATTTTATATAATATTATTCTCGTACTACAATCACAAAACAAAAATATATTAATCTTTCTCTAATAAAAAGTTTATTCGAACTTCTAATAACTAAAAATAGACTAAGAAGTATTATGATAATAGATCTAGTAGATATGATTAGATAGGACATACTGCAAAGTGATTTATTGACAGTAATAATACTAAAATAAACGTTTTGTGTTGACATTTGCTCAGATATTTGTACAAATGTAAATAATTGATCAGATGTATTATTATCATTATTAAATACGACATCTAAACTGTATACATAAAAATCACGACTTTGATTCACATAAACACAATCTGTTAAAGGTACAAATGGTGCAAAATTTATGTCAAAACCCATAGCAAGATTCATTCCATAAACAATGAACTGATCATTCCCAGCAATACGTACACCATGTGCATTATCATCACTAGTATCGTACACAATAACACATACAATTGGTTTCAATATTAATAATAAAATAAATATACCAATACACATTTGATATTTTAGTTTTATTCTCAATCAATCTAAATATATAATAAGAGATTATAAAATACGTTTTGTTCATTATATACGTTAAGAAATAGATGAATTTGAAAACACAAAATATATTTTTGAATAAAATAAACTTCTTTTTCAATGTATAAATCGATATTTTGTCGTAGTTGTTAATGATACTCATAGAATAGTATGATATTGCGCATATATTTCTAATCGATTAGTTTTCTTTTATTTGTATTTATTTGATTTGATCCTTCCTATATTCTGGCCGCCATGGTTGAGTGGTTACGTTGTTCGACACGTATCCACAAGGTACTGTGTTCAAACCTCAGTAACATCATCCATGGAATGACCCTGGACAAGTCACTAACGGCTAAGTTGTCTCAAATGACTCATTCCACATGAGTCATTCATACTGGTTATCTTTAGTCAGTATGTTGGACGGAAGAGGGTGCAGATACCGCCGTCTGTAAAAAGAAAAAGACGACAGAACCCGGCTGCATGTGGAAAACTCTAATAATAACCGCGGCCGGCCCCTAAGGGCGATAAGCCTATGGGACGTTATTATTATATTATTATTCCTATATTCACTTGAATAAGTATTTAATAGAACACTTATACAAAACTAAAATCAATACGAATATCTATGAGTTAGAATGTACTTTTATATTCAATAGAATAACACATTTTATTATTCTTTTATCTCTATGAAAACAAAATAACTTTCCAATAAGAAAAATAAATGTTTTTTCAACTATAAGAAATAGTTGAATGAATAAATTTTAATCATATATATAAATTTAATAAGAAATTATGTATTTATTTGAAAAAGTAAAAAAAGGGACGAATGGAAAAGTTATAATCTTTGTTTGGTATCAATATTAAAAGCTTGTTCAAAAACTTTTAATTTTTGATCAGTTCCACTAATAAACCAAATATGTTGAAAAGCATGACGTTGTTGTGTATTTAATTGATCATTTAATGGTTTATATAAAATTTCAGCCCATAATTTGGCAATTTTTTCAATTTTATTTTGAAAAGCTCCACATCCAATGGGACCTAAAAGAAGATACGTATCTTTTCCATTTCCTTCTGTATTTGCTTGTGCTGATGCAATAATTGTTTCTAATTTTTTTCTTGTATTTATTTCAATTTGTTCATCGGTTTCAGGTGGGGTATATAAACCATGTTCACGTGTTAAATCATAACAAGCAGCTGCAATAATATCGATTTTACGACTTTCTTTATGTTCAGGTGGTTTAAAAAATTGAACATGTTTTATATGTAAACATCCAAATTCTGGAATCATAAAACCTCCATCAAAACGATTATATTTTAAATCAAGTAATGCACGATATAAATCAGAATTATAACAAATTGTTTCTTCTTGTGTTGTTGCACCACGAAGAAAAAGACCTTGGGAGATGAATTAGATTATAATTAATAGAAAAAAAAAACTAAAAAAAATTCTTTTACCACCAGGCATTCTTTCATCTGCAAAATCTAAAACAATAATTTGTTTTCCAAGTGGAATATGAAAAATAACTTGTTCAATTCTTCCTCGTTTTGTATTAATAATTCCTTCATTTTGACGTTGATCAATAGGATATTTAATAAAATTATCTCTTGAATCATTATCAACAAAACCTGATGATTGTAATGTTGCTTTTGAAAAAGG